TGCGTGGATAATGGTGCTGATTAAGTGCGCTATATGCTGTATAATGTAAATGGCACCTATAATTCGTGAAGGTCTATGGCTGGGGCTGGTCAATGAGCACAATTTATCAATTTTTATCCCTGCTCACCCATGCTGACCAAAGGGTGATTCCTCGCCAATTTGGTTGGTACTTAACCTGAGCAATTGGCACCGTTGGTAACGTCTTAAGCGAATCGGTGGGCTCAAACCAGTGGCGCAGCCAGGGGGGGGTCAGAGGGTCAGCTGACCCCCCCGAAATTTCTGTCAGGGGCCCGCTCGAGAGAGAGAGAGTGAGAGAGAGAGAGAGAGAGAGAGAGAGAGAGAGAGAGAGAGAGAGAGAGAGAGAGAGAGAGAGAGAGAGAGAGAGAGAGAGAGAGAGAGAGAGAGAGAGGAGAGAGAGGTCCTAATCTAATCGGACGAGCCCGCTTCGAGAAATGCCCACTGCGACACCTCGGGTGAGGGGTCGGCCTGGGGCCCCAGGTGGACAGGGCCCGGGCCCCCAGGAGAACGGGCCCGGCCCCTTGGGTGGATGGGACCCGGGCCCCCTGTAGATGGGTCCGGGCCCCCGGGTGGATAGGGCCCGGGCCCCCCAGCGGATGGGGCCCCGGTGGATGGATCCGAGCCACCGGGAGAACGGGCCCCGGGTGGACGGGGCCCGGACCCCCGGGTCCCCCGGACCCCCGGGGCTATGGTAGACCTGTCAAAGTGTTTCGATATGGTACCGCACGATAAGCTATTAGAAAAGCTGTCTCTGTACGGAATAGACACTTTTTGGATCAAACATTATCTGGAAGGACATACCCAACAAGTACAACTTACAAATAGTGCTCTTGGATCCGTATCTCGATCGTCTATCAGGGATAATTCGGTTGGCGTTTACCAGGGCGGATCGATGAGTTGCGTTCTCTGGTGCATATTTGCCAATGACCTGTGCCTGCACGTTCCAGACTCAGTGCGCATAGTTCAGTTTGCTGATGATACACAGATATGGACTAGTGGAAAGAGACGCGACCTACCTGCCCTGGTCAGTCGGATCGAAACTGCTCTGCAGTGTTTGTTTGACTGGTTCTGTCACCATGGAATGAAAGTGAACGCTGCAAAAACTGAGTTAATGGTATTTGGGAGTAGACAATTACTTGCTCTTACTCCTGATGTGTCTGTGAAATTTAATGCATCAACCATTCGAGCTACCAAAGAGGTGCGAAATCTAGGCGTCATTTTTGATCGAAACTTGTCTTTTCAGTCTCACGTCAGCCTGATCGTTCAAAAATGCACAGGAATGCTGCTCGCCTTAAACAATGCAAAACATGTCCTGCCTCGCGGCACGATCAAGTATCTGATCGACGCGTTGATGATGTCAGCGATGCGGTACTGTCTGTCGGTGTTCGGCGTATGTGGTCAGACGGAGAAGCGTCGGCTACAAAAGCTGGTAAACTTTGCCGCGCGAGTGCTGAGCGGGCGACGCAAACATCAGCGCGTTGCTGACGTCATTTGTCATGTCAGATGGCTCACTGCTGAGCAGCTTATTCAGTACCACAGGATTATGTCCGTACATCGACTTGTGACACACCGTGTGCCAGCGGTGCTTGCTGAAACCATTGGTCCCCCAGCGAGCCGGCTGCATCAGCACGACACTCGAGATGCCGACAGCTTGTCACTGCCGAGCATACATACGGAGGCGGGGCGGAATCGGCTGTGCTATAGCGCCGTGCAGGGCTATAACAGCGTGCGCAGAACGCAGGGCACTGTGAACAGGGCAGCCGTGAAAAGACACCTGAGGTCCGAGCGGTCGGCGTCCGGTAACTGAATATTTTTAGATGTTCCTATGTAACTGGTGCTCTTTATCTTCTTTTAGTTCATTTTAACCTTTTAACCCTGTTTACGTAGCTGCGTGTGAATGTTTACTCATGTCTTATTTTGTGACGTGCGGAAGTGAAAAGCCACACTTTTGAGTGGACCTTTTGTGAATAAATATCTATCTATCTATCTATCCCGCGAGAACGGGTCCAGGCCCCTCGGGTGGATGGGGCCCGAGGCTCCGGGAGAGCGGGCCCGGGCCCCCTGGGTGGAGGGGGCCCGGGCCCCCGGCTGGATGGGGCCCGGGCCCCCGGGAGAACGGCCCTGAGCCCCGGGTGGACGGGGCCGGACCCCCGGTTGGATGGGGCCCGGGCCCCGGGAGAACGGGCCCGGGCCCCCTGGGTGGATAGGGCACGGGCCCCTGGGTGGATAGGGCACAGGCCCCCGGGTGGATGGGGCCCGGGCCCCGGGAGAACGGGCCCGGGCCCCTTAGGTGGATGGGGCACGGCCCCCCGGGTAGATGGGGCCAGGACCCCCCGATGGATGGGTCCGGGCCCCCGGGAGTACGGACCCCAGGCCCCGGGTGGACGGGGCCCGGGCCCCCGGCTGGATGGGGCCCGGGCCCCCTGGTGGGCGGGCCCCGGAGCCCCGGGTGGACGAGGCCCGGAGCCCAGGTGAACGTGGCCCGGGCCCCCGTATGGATAGGGCTTGGTCCCCCATGTGGATAGGGCCCGAGCCCCCGGGTGAATGGGGCCCGCTAGGGTGACCCGCTTGCTTCGCAACGCGAATAAGGGGTATTTTCGATCGGTGGGCGTTTGGTTGGTCTTGTGTCTGTGGGTTATGTATCCATTACGGTCGATTGCCTTTTGACGGCTAAGCATTTTGGTTTTGGGAAAAAATATCCATCGCATCGAGGTGCTCGTGTCTGATAATAACCATGCGTTCTACTATAGAACATGCCAAGTGTATTTCATGACATAGGTTGGCGTAGGTTATTGAAGAGTGAAAGCCATCGATGAATTACTATGTAGAGGTTTGAAACATTTATATTCTTAAGAATATTGTTGCTCGTCATGCAAAAGCGATGATTGGACCTTGGTCACAATTGAATGCTCTTCCAATCTATGCCCATTTCAATTGTCAAACATACCAGGTTATGTAGCAAAACCCCTGTAATTAAGTAAGTCATAAGCAAATGCTATTTTCTCCAGCAATTTGTTCCACCTTGTTTTTGATCAATTAGCTTTTCACAATTTTCCCATGAGAGGCGGTAGGTACATTTCTCTTGCCAACAAGCGTTGTTTGAACCCGCTCCGTCTGACAGTCATCCAAAAATAGCATTAAGTCCAAAATCCGTCCAAAACGTCAATTTTTCAAGCATAAGTGCCCTCACGGGTGCACGTGGCGCGTGCCATCCCTGCACCGCACACCATTCGATAGCCCGTTCGATTCTCATGCACGATACTGTGTTCCTCGTGCCGATCGGACCCACGGTTACCGAGATACTGCACGGGGACCGGACCCGTGTCGGGCAAGTTGAGCCATTGTCGCCCATTTTTGCAAGCCGATTTATGCATGTAAAGTCTATGACGCGAATTTGCACTTTTTGAGCACGCGCCATGTGCTCACCACCGGCCCGATCGAGCTGTGACTCTTCACAGGCACGTTACCCATCCTTGTTCTATAAGTTGCGCGAATTTCAGCGCACTATGGAAGTTACGTCGCGATCAGCCGCTTTTTTACGCGAGTTCTTCGCGAAAAAAAACCTTAGGGGGTTGCATCAACCCCTCCCCCCTGTGCCGGCGAGGGTTAAAACTTCTTACGAGCGAATTCACGTAATGAAGAAGAATAAAAGCACAATCTACTACAGCAGCCAATAGATGACTTAGGACAGGCACATGGGACTACTTTTAAATCTTGTGCGACAGAAGCAGGCAACAGTTCCGATTGCATATAATATGCTATGCATATTGCGGAATTGGGGCTCATATCGGACTCGAAAGATACGAAGTCATACGTCATAGTAACATATTTCTGTCGTGGTCAATTTGCGTAAAAAGTGAAGACCGGGTGATTACCGAGCTACTGTTCTATGCAAATTTTCTGATTCAAACTCGCTCAGGGTTATCGTGCAGGTAAAGGGGGCCCGCCCAGCAGAATGCGTATGAAATATGGAGAGATTCTGAAAAATGGGTGGGGGCCCGCACACTAGGGGGCCCGCTTTGGAAGCGATGACCCCCCCGAAACGAAATCCTGGCTGCGCCACTGGCTCAAACGAATGGAAAGACGACAATTTAGCACTGGGAGCCTTTTTCGGAGGCGAAAGAAACAGTTTGGGATCACCAGAACTTCATGCGTATTTATTTTGTCAAGCTGCGCTGCCTGTGAACAGTTCGGTGTAAAACATAAATACTACAAGAAAAAATATCGCGACTCAAGGAGGATTCCGGTATGTTCATTACGCTTAGGACTCTTTGTGGTATGGACTCTTGTAGGACTCCCGGCAGCCCCGTCCTCCCCATCCTTCCCCATTGCGTCACCGCCCGCCGCTCGGCCTGGTGTCCGCCCCCCAAATGCAGCGCGCACTCGGCCACTTAGCATGCCGCGCCGGCGTCCAAATCGCCACATAAACAACCAAGCTGGGACGGCTGCCCAGAGATCTGGTCAGTGTGTGTGTGTGCGCACGCGAAAGGGGGGATAAGGGGGCGCTCTAGGTTGTTCATTTTTGTTTCGCGGCCCTGGAGCCGGGTTTAGAGGGATTAGCGGTGGTTGCGGTGGCCGGTGATTTTGAACTTTTTAGAACACTGTGTTTTACCCAAAATATCACGCTGAAAGGATTTTTTCCAGTACCGTAATCCTTTTCAAATAACTAACAATCACTGCAAACATTGACCTCATTTTTGTGCATCCATAGGTAAATCATTTTTAGTCCTTTCTTCACTTTGCTTCCAGGACTGCTATCTACGAATAATTCAAAGCTGCGTTTCACCACTTAGCCTGAAACCCATACATGTAAACATACCTGGATAATCACACAGTGTACCGTATCGGCCATATCAAAGGTGTCCACCGGGACGGGACGGTAACGGCGGCGGCGGCGGTCACTCGCCCCGCCCCCTCCGCTCCGCCCCTCCCCTCGGCGCGCCGCCGCCGCCACCGAGGCTGGATTCACCCCGGAGTCCGGCAGTCGAGCCGCCGCCGCCGTCCGGTGGGGACACTCGGGTGGGTCGCTCCGTGTCCGTGTCGCCTCGCCGCCTCCGTCGCGGTGGACTGTGACTCGTCTCTGTGGACTGTGGATCGGTCGCCGGTGGACTGTGTGGATCCTGTGCCAGTGGACTGAGCGGTGCGCCGGTCGTCAGGTCAGCGGTCGTCTGATTGTCAGCCGCGATATACGGTAGGTGGGCAGACGGTTTGGACGGGCCCCGGGCGGGCGCCCTTATGAGGCGGAATCGTTGTTTTTGTCCTTGGCCGATCCGGTATCTGGGCGCGCTGCGGCTCCTCCGGCGGCCGGCGCGGCCGAGACTTGTCTCGGCTCGAAGTGTCGACGTCAGCACCTTCGAGGTGTGTCGGCGACAGGCTGCTGGGAGACTGACGTAGGATTAGAGGAAGCCTGATCATGGCCCTGTGGAGTCCACTTCCTAGACGACGTCATTGATCCAATCAAAACACGGTGCTAAAAATCAGCTCAATCGGGCGATTTCCCGGATAAGGAGCGTTTCGCTTAACAATAGAACAACGACTGACGATTCATTTATAGCGTACCCGGCCGGACGGACAGCTCATTAACTAGACACGATGCTCTGGGCGCCGCGGCGAGCGGCTAGACGAACAGGAGTCTGTGCTGAGCGGGTTCAGAACCCGCTCAACCGGCTCAGTTCGCTCTGAGCGGACCGGCAGGTGTCGACTTCAAACGCACCGCAGCCGATGCCGGCTGCCAGCTGCGCGCTGCCAGTGTTCCGCTTCTCTCACTGCTTGCTCGCGGTCGTTTGGCGCATTTTTGTTGGCACGCGACGTGCGCGGTGGTGCAGAGACGCATTGGGGATTTTGTCCATGACGCCTTCATGGACGCAGTGGATCTGCGGGATGTGTATCGAGCTCTGTACGTCTTGTCCATTGTCGGAGAGAACGGCATGTCTCAGATTGTCATGTGTGTCAATCTTCGTACATTTACTTGGAAGTATTGCTACGTTGTCTCTAGTCCTTGAGGTTACCACACAGCGCACATTCCAGGTTTTTCACCCACTTTGAGAACACACTTGGTATGCACGGCGGCGTGGACTGCGTATGTAAACTGATGTGTTTGGCGGTCCCGGTGCGAAGGCCGCGACAGGGCGACCAATGCGGCAGTCGGACCGTGTCCTCCGATAGTGTCCGCCGTGTCCGATCGCGGCGGACACGGTCTGTCCGTCTCTGTCCGCGCGTCACCTGTGTCCACGGAGCCGAGCTCGAGTGATCAGACTCGTGGCGACCTTCGTCTGGGCGTGACCTGCATCGGAGACGGCGCACCGCTGACCTCTCGTCGTTCCCGGCTGACCTGTGACCCTGTGACCGTGGCACGCACGGGCCCCGGTCGGAGATGTGACATACGTCAGACAGCTGCCCGTTCAAACGGCCAGTGTGAGTGCTGATTTGTGGTCATTTGAGAGCGCATCAGGTATGGAAGATACTCCATGCGAGCGCTCCCTTGCCAGGGATTAAAACCCGACAAGAAGGCAGACGTTCATGTATGCTCATTGTTCGGCCTGTATATGCGCTCGTTACTTTACACACGCTGTGGCCAAGAAACAGACACGTTTGCTGCCCAAGACACAGACACTTCTGCGCCGTGTGAGCCATGGCGCGTATTTTTCATCCTGTATGTGTATTTGTCTAGCGTTTCAATGACTCATCGAGAGACGCTCGTCAGCGCTATCTGAGGTCCCTGTCCTGCCTCGGCGCACAGATTAGCCGCCCTAATGGCACCCAGGCCGCCGTCACTGTCTGCATGAAACCAGCACATCTGAGGCCGAATTCGCGACTGAAATGGCCTGTGTCGGCCCTGATGAGATCACTCGTCTTCCTGAGCGTACTTTGTACTACCTGAAACCGGTTTTCCGGCGGCGTGAATTCAGGATCGGACCAGATCATGATGGTGGAAGGAGATATCCAGTTTCTTTCCTTTTGCTCGATCCAATAATTAATTGAAAAAGGCAATTTCAGTTTACTGATAAATGGCATATGATTTGCCATATGCCATGCTTTTATTGGCCAGCACCATCTGTTGATCATTTTTATTGTTCGTTTATTTGCTCAGCAGACCTCCGCAACTACGGCTGTCATAGCTCGTAGAGTTTTCAATTTATTAGAAGGTTATATTATTTGATGGATACATAGTGTAGAAATTCGTTTCTCCCCCCCCCCCCCAAAAAAAAATCAGGAAGGATTAAGGAAATATTCGAGCTGCCTGAAGGCCATGTAGACGGCATGCAACTTTGAAATATGTATATCATGATATGGTATAAGGCATGAGACGAGTTCTGTTCCATGAAATTGATCGATATTCCTTTAAAAGGTGAACGACTACCATGGAAACTATTTGTGTCAGTGAATTCACTACATCGCTCACATAAGCCCCTAATAGGAAAGTCGTGCCTCTGCTTTTGGTATTTATTACATGTCTTCCGATGAGGAGATAGTGTAGGATATATGGAATGATGGGCTAAGCCGGTGTCGACAGGCATTATTTCCCGTCTGGCCCGGCGGGAGGCAAAAAACCGTCCAGCCACGCTCATTGTCAATATATCGAGCGAGGCGCTCCCTTGGTCTCCTGCGGATGGCCGGCCGCCTTTTCAGTGGAAAGGAAACAGCCTGTGGCAGCCTGACATGACGACACATTGGATCGTTTTGATGGCATCTGCAGAAATTATGTCATGGAATGAAAATCAAGACGTTATATCTATAGCTGATGGCAATGAAACCTGATTAATCCAACTCTCCTGGAGAATGATGAAGGCTATATCCTGACCTCACGCATAGCTCAGGTGCGTTCAGCTGACGAGCCGTATTTTTCCGTGTTCGTTTATACATTGTTCACGCTTGAGAATACCACTGTGCATTGTGCAATAAATCATGAATCACTTCTAAGACTTCCTGGTTTTCATGCATCTGTCTGTGTAGTGTGTATATGTTACAGGCGTCGGAACAGGGAAAGGTCAGACCATGCCCTCTGAATAAAAAAGGCGAATAACAGTGAACGGTATCAATTGGTGGGCGTATATTCCCTGCTTTTACCTACTCGTAAGCCTTTTTATCGGTTCCCCAGGCCCCTGGAAGGAAAGTCGCTCGATGTAACTACCAGAAGTGAGGCATTATAAACCTAAGAAGTTAGCGTTAACGATCTTCGATAAACGACTTACTGACTGGCCACTGCCGGGTAGCAGGCGCAGGTGTTTCGGTTTGACGCACGTTAGAGCTAGTGTCCGGCTGTCTAGCCCGGCACTCCAGGGATAAAATGATTTGACAGACAGCCGGCGTGGAGCCGCGGTTAGGATAAGCTGCCGAGTTTATCAATACAACAACGTTTGTCAATTAAGGTCCTGACGGATTTGTCTGGGAGCGAAAATTCCCGCGCCCAGCGTTTTTTTTCTGTTGGCATTGTCCATAAATACATCATCGATGTAAGCAAATTTGATTCAGTAGCTGGAAAAGGAAGCCAGCGCCGCGCAACTGCATGAGAAGGATTTGAACAACGGTCCATGGGCATTCCGGTCAGTAAGCTGGATTTGGTGAGGGCTTATTTTCGACTTTCGATGTCTGATCGATTTTTGGACTGTAAGGATACGTAAGCTCGATCCTAGAGTAGGCAAAAGATATCGTTTTCACCCCACGTTTTCCCTGTGAAGGCACTTACGACCTGTTGTTGCGCTAGCTTTATTTTAAGGCAGGATTATTTTGGTATGAAAGCATCACACTCATTACTTGGTCTAATGCCCGTTACGAGTCAGAGAGTTTTATCACTCGAATGAGTGTCCCCGCTGTAGATGGAGTGTCTGAGCGCGGCACTCACACTCCCTCCAACTCGGCGGGCCAGTCCATGCGGATGTCCTCCGCCACGAGTCTGGAGTCCCTCGCCATGCGTCGTCCGACACCTGGCTATCTGATGGAGCGATGATTGATTTATTGCCCAGCCCGCACAGATAACCGCAGTTGGACAGCCAAGGTGAAAACAACCATCTGCCCAGAAGACATTATTGACGCTCTTCTCAGCGGCATTCACCTCAGTCCTTTCAGACTCCCTTATACGGACAAATTGATTCCCCTGCCAAGCCAAATTTACGGTACGTTATTTCTAAACGGACGCGCTAAACGTTATCTAAATGGAGGCGACTCCTGTAGCTTCTCCCCAGATCTCTATCTCGCCCCCGCGCCTTAAACAATGCCTGTCATTCGGCTGTATCGTATTTCCTTATCCGCGTATCATTGCAGTACCCACGACGCATCTAAATATTCAGGTGCCGTCGTTCGGCGCGACGTCTGGCGTCGGCCCTCTCGGGGGACATGAGGTAAGCCCGGCAGGCCGCCGCGCCGCCGGCCGGAGGTCGCCGAACGCTCGTGCTCATGGCCCTCAAACGGTCGAGACCGGGGCGGCGGTGGCGATCTGGTGGCCTTTTACGGGAAGGCGGAAGGTGACCGGGCCAGGGTGCCGCGCGTGGCACCCAGCGACCGTCACCGATTCACATAGAAACAGATAAGGCGGCTGCCCGTCACTCCCGTGTAAAATCGCGAAGGGATGACCGTGATGTGAAAGACCGTAGTGTTAGTACTTTCACCATGCTGCTAAGAGCACCAAAATGCACCAAGCTTATGTGTCTTTCAACCTGAAACGTATAGATAGATAGGTTATTTAAAGGGACTATCCCACCTTTAACATGGGGTTTGAGTTGAGATAGCCAAGTTTGCGGCGAGGTTCAGAAACCACTATCTATCTAGGTTGCAACCCCCGCGGCCTCTTGGTGTTGAAGAAATTCGTTCCCTTCATTTGAAAATGGGCCTTGTACAAGGCCCTATCTTCAACATGGAGCGACCGTTAGTGTGACGTCACCTCGTTTAGTCATTCTGATTTAAATGGGTTTGTTCGTTGAAAAATCGTTTAAAACTTGGTCTGAACTTTGTTGTGGTGCCTACAGAGTAAAAAGAATCAGCTTTATGACAGTAATGTGGCCTGGGGAAGGAGGTAATTTTGGGCTGTGACGTCACATATTTGAAAGTTTGTGTTTGGAATATGGGAAGCCTAAGATGTGTGATGAAAAATAAATGCCAGAACCGTGTTCCTGGTCATCCAATCTATAAAGTCGGGCACAATTTAACTGGTTTTAACAACATTTTAGAAGGTGGGATAGTCCCTTTAATGGTTAT